TTTTTATTAAATATCAACCGTTTATTTTAAGCGTCCGAATACTTACATGAATTTATTTTCGGAATTTCTTGAATAAAATATTTTTTTTTATCAAAAACATTTTACACTCTTTCGAAACAAGCATTTATTAGATGACCAATAATATACGTGAAAAAAATACACCTTCCCCGAATAATAACGCAGTTAAAGCAAAAATCACTCTTTTTTCAAGGAATTTTATACTTGAAATGTTTTCATTTCAATTATGTCCACCAGATGGTGCTTTGTTCATAAAAAAACAGTATACCATATAATAAATGGTCAATGTGCGCAACTATGAGTACTGAACATTACTTGAAGACACTCTACTAAGACATACGAAAAACACAGAAACTCACTGTTGTAGGAAAATTTAATACATGTCAGCGATTAGCACCTTTTTAAATCTGCCACTGACGATGAGTAATCTCTTTTCAAAGTAATCCTACAGACAAATTTATGAAGGTTTCAAATCTAGAAATCGGGTCTGCAATTCATATTAAAAATGACAGTTTCTTAGTCGTGTTCTCTCAAAAATCAGAATAAGATTTGTAACAGGTCCTCTATCTTACTCAATCATTTAAAGCGGATCATCATCAAACGGTCCCGAGAATAAGTATGACGTAACTGGAATGGATGCGGATAAATATACACATTTTTCAAGCTGTCGAGATGACAGTGGTTTATTTCTTCAGTTAAACGCTAGGGCCGTTTTTAAAATGGCATCTCATAACGAAAGTATTAAGAAACAAATTATATGTTTTTATATCTGTAATGCCCAAAGCAAAACATTATAAAAACAGTGCAATATCGAAAGAAAGACTTACCAATTTTTATAATATTATGAAGAGTACGAACGTTATCTATAGCGACGAAAGTTCGAAAAAAACGTAACACATCTCCATTAAAAATTGCAAAATACAGAAAAAAATCTAAAACACCAAATACAGTTAAAGGAAATCAAATTCTGCAAGCAAAATTAGAGTTTCTGCATAAATACAAGCAATGCGGTTAAACGGCAGAAAGACAAAATTTTCTCTATGCACAAATATTTAAAGTTAACTTCTGGTTTCGCTGGGCTAAAACACACTGAACTTGGTGCACCAGCTGACTTCATTCACTGTTCTACTAAGAGCTTCAAATGCAAATGTAAACAAACAGGGGCCCCATTAGGCCTAGCAACACTTAAACTTTTAAATTGTTGATAATTCTGAGACTATTGCATGCAGGTTAAGTAAAGGCATAAAAACATTAACTGGAACCATAAGAGGTGCGTAATTTAATCTCTTTTAAAGCAAAAATGCACAATTTACCGATATATAAGAATAAAAAACTGAGTTCACAGAGCTAGATAACAGGGTGGAAAAGTATATATATATATATACGTTTGGTGCGGCAGATTGTAACGAAAAAGGTGAAGTGCACAACTTCATGTTATAGCAGTCCCGTATATACAATTTCAACGGTACTCCCTGTTTGAGTTATGCGAGTTAGATTCATAGGTAAGTACGTACAGATCTCACGCAGGTGTCATGTTTAAAAAAAAAAAAAAAAAAAAAAAAAAAAAAAAAAAAAAAAACATTCAAATGGCTTCGAAAGAGCTCAAAAGGAAATTTTTGTTGAAATATGGAACACGACATTTTTTGCGATTACAATACTTCCTTTATTTTGTACAAGGAAGTCAAAAGAAGCTTCATTTAATACTAAAGAATTAGCTTTAAAATCACATGTTAAAGAAACAGAATTAGGGTGCAGCTATAGTACAGATTATTTTAAGGATTTACAGGAGTATAAATTATTTTAAGATAGCTCAAAAATGAGTTTACAGTTTAAATTTTCATATACAAAAAGAATTCATTATGTAATATTCTGATGTAAACTTTAATCTTATATAAAGTAGTCTTAAAAAAAAAAAAAAAAAAAAAAAAATCCTCAGATTTGTATTATTATTATCCTGGCTGTGCATATGAGCTGTACTTGCGACATATACGAAATGTGACAAATATTAATGCGACGAATACGAAATGTTTTTATTTCTTCCAAACTGTGAAAATTTCTATTTCGTTGTTTAGTATAACAGTGCCTGTGACTGTGATGTAAATACAGAGCCATTTATTCAGGATTAAAAAAAATAATAAAGCGCACTTTAAATGGATTTTATTACAACTAACGTATTTGTACAAATTCTTTAAAAGGTATTCTTTAAAAGGCACACAACCTTTAACATTTCTGATTTTACTACTTTACTTCAATTATTTTTTATATTTTTGGCTCGCCCAGTTATCTTATCGTTACACACAGCTGTCAGATGTACTTTCCCAAATAGCACATTTAAATTATCAAAACTGATAACTAATTATCATACGTTTACCCTATTTTTTGTAAGTCATAATACTATTTATATGGCTGAAAAGGACTGAGACTTATTATACATTTTTCATAAAAATTAAGTAACTTATAATAATATTAATTAACTATTAGTCCAAAGGGGCTCTGTCTCTCAAGGACTATTGTTTCGTTTTGCGATTTTGCGTTGGTTCACTATAAATGTCAGTTTCCCTTTTCAAACTTTTGCCACCGAACGCTAGAGTCCTGCATTATATTTGAAGAAATTAAATAATGAAAAATCTGCATAAATGCATGTATATTTCTCGCATTATGATAAAACAACGATATGATTATGATAGAGCCATCGAGTTTTGAATGGCGTAACTGCGAATATGGGCATGTGGAAGCCCAAATTTGAAATTTGGAATTTATTTTATTATCGATTTCATGTTTTGTAAAAACTTTAACGAATTTTTTAATAACAAACTCAAGGATTTCAAAGCGAGCCATGGCAACGTTTTTTTACAGAAAAAAAAAAAAAAACATTTTTATCTCCAACGCGCGAGAGTGTGTATCGGAAATTCTAAAGATATGCTCGATTTAAAACTAATTTCCGATATTGCTCTTGAACTGAATTTTATTGTTTAAGTGCGAAGAACGTGCTATTTAATCAATAAAGGTAACAGGCAAAATGTTAAGAAAACACCCCTTTGGAAATAATTTAAAATCTGAAACCTTTCAGATTTTAATTTTTCTTTTTTTTTTTTTTTTTTTTTTTTTTTTTTATTTTGATTTTTTTTTTTTTATTGTTCTTAATATCTTTTATGAGAAGTACCCCAGGCCAGTTAAGTTAGATTGAGAGTAATGTATCTAACAACAAAGAGAACGATACCGCTGCAATCCTTCTCTAATAACGATGCAAAAAATATGATTCATAGTCATACATTTCTCATTGTGTTGCGATATGGAACCCACATAAAAAATTTCGATAGAAAAATAAACTAATTATAGCACCAACAATGGCACGCAGTTTTTAACGATTTTCGTCTTTCTAATCAAATGGTCGTAAAAGCTCAAATTCCTTCCAATATTTCACCTATATATTCAATTTTAGTTGATTAAATGTGATAAAAAATTGTCACAATCAATAACACAAACACAAACAAAAAAAAATGATCAGGCATTCTTTATACATATATATATAGATTTCGTAAAACTTACAAATTTTTTATTAACAAACTGTACGTTTTTTTTTTTTTTTTTTTTTTTTTTTTTTTTTTTTTGAAAGCGAGCAGTAGCAACACTTTTCCAATAAAGCATTTTTGTTTCCAACGCACGAAACTGTTGCCACTGGGAAAAATTAGTGCGAAAATGAGTGTTTTCAAAATTTTTAATTAATATCTTGGCTGATTAAAGTCGTACGAAGATGGGAATAGTCGAAATGGCTTCTCACAAATTCTTGGAAACGATAATAATGTATTTAATGTTTGCCAATGCTATTTTTATTTCATTGTAAAACTTAGAAATTTTTTATTAACAAACTCTACGATTTGAAAGCAGTGGCAACACTTCTCGAAAACAACTGCACTCGAAATAAAGCAGAATTTTATCTCCAGCTTGCCACTCGAAAAAATGAGAGCGAAAATTAGCCATTTTAAGGGTTTTTAATTAATATCTCTGCTCCAGGACCCAGAAAAGAATTGTTCGGTGACGATAGCTATAGTACTGAGTTTATCGCGAACAAACAGACATACTTCTCTCTACATATAGAGGCCCACCAAAGGCCGAGCGGTAAAGTCGCTGAACACTGGTAGTTCGATCCGAGGTTCGAATCCCGCGAACTGGCTGGCTGCATGGACGTTTTCGTGGTTTTTCCCCATGTGTAACGTGTATACGATTGGATGGATCTAGGTAACGTTGTGCGAGAAACATACATACATTTCATGCAGATTCTTCATTATTTAATTTCTTTAAATATAATACAGGGCAATATATTTGGTGGCAAAAATTTGAAAAGTAATTGAGACTTTTATGGTGAACCAACGCAAAATGCCAAAACGAAATTAATAGCCTTTCTGGACAAATTTCCCTTTGGGGTTCTGTACTGCAAAAATGTTTAATTCAAGATATTTCGTCCGCAATGAAACAGCAATCCTAATCATTACAAGTGTACAGTTAAATTACAGTGTAAAATGGCATTAAATAATTTTTCCGAAAATTAATTTGTTAAAATTTACAGAGTACACATTAACGCTGTTTTTAATAGCGATTACAATATTTCTTCTGTATTGGACTGCCGTCAGTAAATGCTTTGTGCTTCATAAACTATCTTTATATTCTATGGAATGAATTTTACTTTTATCGGCATAAAAATATAAAATTGTACACTTATCTAAATATGCAGTAATTATTTTTCTTCTATTACTTCAGGGGTTTCTAATAAACATCATTTTGTATTCAAGGAGTTGGCTATTAAAGGTGGTTTATTCTATGTTTTTTGACATTCCCGTTTATTTCGATTGATCGAGATAATAGTACTGCACTTATATTATTTTAGCCTCGAACAAGCATAAATCATTGCCTATGGTTTCATTTTTCACTCATTTGAACTGATACCATCTAAAAGCAATGTTAAAGGAAAAACTAACACTCACCTCTGTCTGAGTAACATCGGATAACATTAGCACTGTGTGGGGTTGGAGACACCGTAAGTCCGTCTGGAGCAGCCACCGACCTATATAAATCGAGCATGTATCTTGGGGGCGTATGCCGAGGCAACCGCTGCAAGGGAGCCGCCCCTGGAACTCCTTGAAGAACGTCCAGCAGTCTCTCGAGGGAAGCCCCTGCGCCGGCCGCCGATGTCAACATCAGGGTGGCCAGGAGGAGCTGCAGCTGGGGTTGGACGCGGCCGCACTCTCTCATCGTTCTGCGGCGGCGGGGACGCGGGTGCTCGGTTTTAGAACGGGCTTCCCCCGCCCTTCTCGCATCCCTGAAACGCAAGAATATCCAGTCTCGAGGTCTGTCGACTTCAGACGCAATTTGGCGACGGCACGCGTTTTGCCGGCTCGGGAGATACCTTGTCCGTATGGCTGTAATTCGCGACTGCCAGGGTTGCTACTTTGCTACTTTATGATGAGTTTTCATTTTTTCCGGGCTAGGGTATTGTCAGCAGAAGAACTGAGGCGTAAGGTTAAAAAAGAAACGTGAAGTGCACCTGGTGACGAATGTAATCATCTTCTCTCATTCCGGTTAAATCTCGCCAAGTAGCGTTCTTCCTTTCGGTGATCAGTCAATTAAATTTCATTTATCTGTCAAAACATCGTATTCTACGGTTATATCTAAAAAATAACTGTACCTTACCATCAATATTATTTATTTACTATAACGTTTCAATTCGAATTTCATATGTTCACCGGTTAATCTCGCCATTTTCCTTTCGGTGATCAGTTATTTATTTATCTGTCAAAAGTTTCACTGTTAAAAATAACTGACCTTTACCATCAATATTATTTATTTACTATACGTTTCAATTCAATTTTAATCACCAAAATTTATTTAAATTTCAAAAAATTGATCAAAAAAAAAATAGTTTTTCGAGCTTATAGTCTTGCGACTAAAATCGTTTGGAAAAATAAAAAGATTTTTCTAGAAAATATCTAGATGGCATTGATTCTAAACACCGATTTTTCATAGTATAATAAGCTGTTTTATTGTATTTTTTGGATCCTCTGTGTGTTGAATATTTCGTCAACTTTACATAAATGGTGGTGTGTATTTAATTATGGCAAAGCACACTAGAGCTATCTGCCTAAAGGGAGGGATGCCTTCGTTGAGGACTTTCTAAGGAAAACTGGCTCGTATACACGTTACACATGGGGAAAACCACGAAAACACCCATGCAGCCAGCCCGTTCGCGGGATTCGAACCTCGGACCGAACTACCAGTGTTCAGCGGCCGCTGGTGAGCCCTTTAAATAAATGATCTTTCCTTTTTTAGTCCAAAGGGGCAATTTGTCCTGAAGGACTGTTAATTTCGTTTTGGCATTTTGCGTTGAAAACTATAAACTGGCGAATCACTTTTCCAATCGTTGCCACCATATATTATCGCCCTGTTTTATATTTAAAGAAATTAAATAATTAATAATCTGCATAAATGTATGTTTGTTTCTCGCACTGTGATAAAACAACGATACCTAGAGCCATCCAAATTTGAATAACGTAATCTTCCATAGAATATGGTATGTGGAAGGCCTAATTTGAATTTGAAATTTGTTTTATCGATTTCATATTTTTGTAACACTTTAACAAATTTTTTAATTAACACTGTACGATTTCAAAAAACTGGCACATTTAAAAAAAAAATTATCTCTAGCGCGAGACTCTGTGTCGGAAGTTCTAAAGATATGCTCATTTTAAAATTATTTTGCGATATTGCTGTTGAACTGAATTGTATGGTTTAAGTGCGAAGAACATGATATTTAATAAATAAATATAACACACAAAATATTAAAAAAACGTCTCTTTGGACGTAATTTAAAATCTGAAACCTTTCAGATTTTTTTTTTAATAATATTTTGTTCGTATTGTTTAACAGCTTCTATTTTATAGTTATACCATTCTATTCAAAATTATACTTGAATCAGATTTATAAGGTCTCTAATAGCTTGTTAACTCTGTATTTCCAGTTACGTGTTTCTGGGTTTTTACTGAGCAATATCACTATAATACACATCGGCCTGTTTTTCTAAGGAATTTAATATAAACAGCTAAAAATATACATATACAGTTTTTGGTTGAATCTTTTGTGTAGGCCATATGCTTTTATTATTATCTAAATTGAAGACACAGCAGTATGTTCTTCCCATAAGTAATGCTTAAAATTCATTTATGGTAATTTAGTGTTAAGTATTGACAACATATAACAAAACAACAAGCAAAAAGAATATTATTAAAACACAATAACAAACTAACAGCAAACAAAAAATTATTAAAACAAAAAAAAATTTTTTTTTACATGACAAATATTCAACAAACAAAGGTTCCAAAAATACAATAAAATACCACATTAGAAAATTAAGAATTATTTTTAGAATCAAATCCATCCATATATTTTCTAGAAAAATCGCTTTCTTTTTGCAAACGATTTTAGTCACAAGACTATAGCTCGAAATGCTGATCTTAATTTATAATATTATATAGTGCTTAAATTGGAATTGAAACTTTATATTAAATAAATAATATAGATGCTGAGGTACAACTATATTTTAGACATAGCAGTATAATACGAAGTTTTCAGAGAAAGGTAAGTTTTAAAACTGTTTACCGAAGAGAGGATGATTAAATCCGTCACCAGGTGCACTTACGTTTCTTTTTAGCCTTCCGAAATTCCTCTCAACAATTTTCTCCTTTTCTAAAAAATATTTAACTCTTTAATAAAGGTTAAAAAATACCTTTTAGATTTTTACTTTTTAATTCTTTTTAAATTCTTCATGAATATTTTTAATTCTTTTCTTTTTTAAATTCTTTTAGTATTTTATTTCTTTAAAAATTTTTTATCTGTTATGAAAATATTTTTAATTCTTTTTGAAAATATTTTTAATTCTGTTTAATTATTTTCTTATTATTTATTAGCCAAGGTTAAACCCAGCCAGTTAGAAAAACGTAAGAAATAAATAGGACCCATATTATACGAAATGTACTGGAAATTATTTAAAAAAAAAAACTGAACGCTTTCAGATTTTATATTACTCCCAAACCGGTGGTGTGTGAGTTTTTTTTTTTTTTTTTTTTTTTTTTTTTTTTTTTCCAGACAGATATACGTTTTGAGAGCATTGAGCTAACACCACATTGTGCTAAAAATATTTAAAAACTTTTAGAATTTCCGATGGACAGACTCGCGCGCTGGAGATAGAAATGTTTTATTCCTTAGAGTGCTTCCTCTGCTCTCTTTGAAATTGCTGAGTTTTTTTTTTTTTAATAAAAATTTCGTTAAACTTTTACAAACAAACAATTCGTTACTTCTACAAAATATGAAATAGACAATAAAACAAATTCCAAATTCGGTCTTCCAGGTGCCTATGTTCAAGTAGAAGACTATGCTATTCAGAATTTGATGCGTCTAGATACCATTGTTTATTTCACAGTGCGAGAAACACGCATACATTGAAGAGAATTAAGGAAAGATTCTGTAATCTGCAATTACAGCACACATCACTGGTACCTGATACCCTAAGAGCACAGCAGAATATGAGGCAAAATTTGAAATTTGCAAATACAATGAACTTTCAACTAAGCGAGGGCTGATTATCTGATGCTGTTTTTTTAAAAAAAAAAAAAAAAAAAAAAGCTAAGTTTGCTTTTGAGAAACTATGAAAACATTTCTGTCACAGATCATCAAAGCAAAACTCTCTGCGGAAAACAGAAGAAAGGGAAACGTGTGCGATAATATCAGATAATGTCATACTATGTGGGTTTATTAATTAAACTATGGTAAAGAACACGAAGGCTATCTGTCTAAGAGGAGGGATGCCTCTGTACAGAAATTTTTAAGGAAAACTGACCAATACTACATATACATATGAGGAAAACTACGGAAACTTTTCAAGAAGCAGTCAAGTCATTCGCCAGAGTTTGAACCCGCGGCAAATTACTGGTATTCAGCAATTTTAGCGCATAGCCGCTAGCTTAAAAGTTGATTTTAGTTGTCTCTGCTTAAAAGTTAGTTTTACCCTCTTTGGTACACATCGATTCACTGTAAATCTCCGTATCCCTTTCCAAACCGTAGCCACAAAATATTATCGCTCTGTATTATATTTAACGAAATTAAATAATGAAACGTCTGCATAAATGTATATATGTTTCTCGCATTGTGATAAAACAACGGTACCTAGAGCCCTCAAAATTTGAATAACTTAATCTTCCACAGAATATGGGAATGTGGAAGCCCTAATTTGAATTTGAAATTTATTTTTTAATCGATTTCATATTTTGTAACACTTCAACGAATTTTTGATTAATAAACTCAACAATTCCAAAGCGAGCAATGGCAACACTGTAAGAAAAAACAAAAAAAGCTTTTATCTCCAGCGTGCCAGATTGTGTATCGGAAATTATAAAACTTTGCTCCTTTTAAAATTATTTTGAGATATTACTGTTGAATCGAATTTTATTGTTTAAGTGTAAAGAGCATGATATTTAATTAACCAAGGTAACACACTAATGTTAAAAAAACACCTCGTTGGGCATAATGTAAAATCTGAAAGCTTTCAGATTTTATTATTATTATTATTATTATTATTACTATTTAACTGATAAAGCAAACAAAAATCTCACGAAGCTTATCTTAATTCTAAGAATTTCAATTTTGTATGAATGTAGAATTATTAACTTAACTATTTTAACTACTAGCCTTGGAAAGTAATCTCTTATCTTCAATTCTGCTAGCTGTATTGCTTTGTATTCTTCACTTGCGTAGGAGACCAGATGCCAAACTCACGTGCGTTAATGAGGACGTGCGATTTTTACGGCCAATTTATAGAAGAACGCTGTTGGTAATTATGGCACTCTGTACAATATACGAGTCAGTTTCCATCTGGTGTAATCAAATTACTTACTTTCTTGTATTTAAAAAAAAAAGAAAGAAAGAAAGAAAAGAAAAAGACTTCCCCATAAGACTTAAACAAGTTTCTCAATCCTGTATTCTTCTCCTTCTAAAGGACGCGCAAATGAAAAATAAACAACATATGGTAATTAGTAACTGCTGCTGCCTAATTTCTGTTAACATACTACTTCCAGAAAGCGGGCTTGTAGGACTCATTGTTGTGATAGTTTTGAAGCAGTTGAATTAAGATATGTGCTTTCAGTACCTCTCAACGCAAAACTACAGGCGATTTGACAAGATTTCGACAAAATGTTTATTTTTAAGCATACTTTAAGACTCTCTGTGGCAATCATTTCCTATAAAGGGTTAAAGAGAAATAAATATTATATTTATGTTTAAAAATATGGAAATAAGTACCTCTATAATTTTGGAGTTTAAAGGCTAAGAAGTTTTGTACTTTTATAAAAAATGGGTTTAAACTATTTTTA